AAAAAACACTTCCAAAAACATGAAACTTTGATATTAAAGGGGAACGCCGTTTTTTTTACATTTGGCCCTTGATTTTACGTTATTCCATCATGTTCTACTCACCCATATGAGTTTTGTGTCATTTGGAGCTGTTCTGAAGATATTCGGTTAGTTTATATCCAGGTAACGTCTTCCTATGGGCAACAAGTTGAAGGCACAAACTAAACTGTTAATAATTTATTCTTTATGGAACACCAGCATTCATAACATGTATGCGAATCACTGTCCCCCAGACATCCATGGTTATATTTTTTATATTTCTATTTTTTTTAAACAAAGCGGCGCGTGTATGACGTCATCCGCGCTCCGGCTACCATTCATTCATCCTGTCCGCTGAACTGCTGCTAGTTTTACTCACATGCCTGGAAGATGTCTAGTGCTACTACCACAGATTATCTCGCTCTCTAAATGGAATTGAACGATTCAGAATAGCTAGACGAATATATAAGGCTACGTTCACATTGAAGGCGTTGATGCTCAATTCCAATTTTTTCTTTATCGAAATCTGATTTTTTTACATTGCTGTACACATTTCCAAATATATGCGACTTGTATGTGATCTCCTGTGTGAACTGCAGTCATACAACGCAAGTGTCCCGCATGTATAGTAGAGGATGCAATGACATCACAGGCCAGCGTGCTCTGTGTTTACCGAAGTAAACATGGATAGTAGTACCGGCGCACATCTGGCGGTCTTTTCCAATCATAAAAACTCAATCTTTTCAATATGGTTAAACATAAACACTACTCTTCGCATCATCATCTGCCATGGTTTTTCTTGCCGCTTCTGCGTAGCAAGACGCATATTAGTGACCGTTGTCGGGTATTAATGACGTTCAGGTGGGATGGATATGACCTGGCCGTTCACACACAGGTCGCATTTGGAATGATCAAATTGGTATCAGATTCAGGACCACATAGCCAAGTGGCCTGGGTCGCATTGGAAAAAGTCTGATCTGTGTTGTTCAGACTGCTATGAAAAGATCAGATTCAGGTCGCAAATGGGCAAAAAAATCGGATTTGGGTCACTTCAGGCTGCAGTGTGAACGTAGCCTTAGAGGTAGAGCGTAGGCGCCTGGTGTAATGTCCATTGGTTAAATAAAGTCCGGCGCGGATGACATCATACTGTACATGCTCCGCTTTGTTTTTAAAAGATATAAATATAAAAAAATATAACCGCGGATGTCTGGGGGACAGTGATTCGCCTACATGTTATGAATGCTGGCGTACCATAAAGAATAAATTATGAACAGTTTAGTTTGTGCCTTCAACTCGTTGCCTATAGGAAGACGTTACCTGGATATAAACGGAATATCTTCAGAACAGCTCCAAATGACACAAAACTCATATGGGTGAGTAGAAAATGATGTAATAACGTACACAT